AGGCAAGCAGAAAGCCTTGATATTGTTGGATCCGTAATCAGATGTCACATATGACACCATGTTGTTGGGTATTAAAGAGATTTATTATTTCATCATACTGAGCTGCAATGTTATCAGATGTGTGATGCTCCTTGAAACGCTGACATCTCAGCATGACTGTTTGCATTTTCTAGTCAAGTATAAAATGACCAGTGACTCCAAAAAAGCTGCGCATTTTTCTGATACTCCAGATATTCACATTGACATTGATGTTGGGTACAAGTTACCGTATAGAGATAACTTTTCGTTGGACTTCATCAAACCCGTTCTCGATCAACATTGCGTACAGATGCGTGCAACTGAGAAGAATATATCGAGAATCCATAGCTGCCATTAGATCTTGAAAATCTTTTGACTCCACCAATGAGAAGGGTTGCAGTATACCAGCAATAAAATTGACAAGTTTGTTGGTGATGTGCTTCTGATGAGGGTGTGTAGACTTATATTTAGTTGATTCTGTACAATACGCTACTATTGTAGGCTGCAGTATCTAGGTGGAAGTACCAGAGCCAGATGTAGATTGTAGGTCTGCCTTGATTACGCTAGAAAAGCAAAAGCGTATTCCAGTTATATAATGTAGAATATAGTTTATGTAATACAATAACTTTTAAGATGATTGGAGAGTATTGACCTGAGTTAACCCTTTCACCACGGGTATCCCTAATGTGCATGTTTTTTTTAAGTTGTGAACTAGTTGTGATTAATGTCGTAACGGGGAGAAGAACAAAACTGAATTAAAATATTAGGTTTATACAAGAAAATTATTTCTATTTACAAATAAAGAATGTAAAAATGTTAGATATGAGTCATGCGAACAAATATTATCTAGAATTATTGAATTTCACTTAAAATTTTGCGTGTGTTGCATATTGATTAAAACTAATTGATCTTTGAATCTCTTCTGTGGGAATGAAATAATATATTCATTATTTAAACTTTTCGATGATGATACAAAATCAAAGATGCATATACAAACTCAGGTAAATAAGCAGCGTATTTAGGCTTCTCAGATTGCCGAAGCGGTAAATCACAGTTTTTATGAATTAAAAGTTTAGGAGAGATGTAATATTTAAAATAACTATTTTTTTTTAATTGTTGTTGTTTGTGATTAAGCACAAAGCTACACAAAGGGCTATCTGTGCTCTGCTCACCACGGATATCGAAACCTGGTTTCTAGCAGTATAAGTCCGCAGATTTACCGTTGTGCCTCTCGGGTGCTTTTTTTAAAGCCCAACGTTTCTAGTTTTATCAGCTACCTCGCTTTTAAACTGTTAAACTTAACATAAGCATTAAAATTAAACCAAACTGTTCGTTCAAACTTTGGCATTACATACTTATAATGAAATCGATTATATTAATTGGCAGTCTACCTTTGCTCTAGATAAAAAGATTTACGTTGAAAAAAAAAGGTGATTTGATTAAGTTGATTTCACTGATTTCCTTCGTGTTTTCAAACCTTAGCATCCTTTTATACATACATTCGTCCTAATTTAATTTGGGAAAGACGCCTTATGCTTTTTCAACTGGGTCAACTTGGCTGCACGGCAGTGGCATGGTCACGGACAGACCATAGCCTGCCCACTTGGCACCCATGCCAAACCAATCTAAAACCTGCTTGATGGTCATTGTAACTTACCGCTATTTGTACGGCCCCTAGCCCGTCCATCGTAAATTCAGGCCTAACCAAAATTTCGTACATGACTATGCCACAGCAGCAAAACAACCTCTATTTGGGTTCCAAAATTATTGTAAATAAATGTGTTGATTGTCTCGTAAAGAAAACTTTAGGTGTCTTGTATGGCAGAGTTTATTAAGCATCACATATCATAACACTTGCAAAATTAAATACCAAATTATTGATTATTATTTAACGTTCTCCCAAATAATTCACTCACATAATTTGAAATATGCTTCTTCCCCTACGGGACGGTTTTCCTTTGGCATTCTTCCTTCTCCTCCTAAAAAAACGTTTCTCATCCCTAACAAAAGGCTTATTATCATTCACAATCGTCTTTGTCTTGAAACTTTCAGATTGAATTCCACCTTCCTTAACTTTGGGACTTGTGGTAAGTCTCCTTTGTGTAAACGTTGTGGTATTGTGCTAGAAATCACAAATCGTGTCCATTTGATCACAAACAATGTTTCCTCCATCCGAGTCAATGTATCATGCATCGAAAAGATTTTTCTATGACTATGATCTAACAACTGATTCGAAATGTGAATTAACTTGGGGACTTAAAATACACCATCAACACATACAGACACAAAATATCCTTATACTCCTTGTGATGGGAGCTGGTAAACTCTCTTATTATTGTGTCATTTTAAATATTTTTTTAGTTGGTATGGTTTTTAGGTATTTTATTTTTAATCCAAACTACTCTTGGATATTGAAAGTAATATTTGACTGACACTTAACATAGACTAGATGGATTTGCAACTATTGGACAAGCCTCAAAACTGCAAAATTTCAACTAGAACATCAACAACAAATTTGTTCGACAGTACCCACTGCCAATTCTTGAGGCTACTCTTTACGAACGAATAATGGGACTTACATCACATTATAACGCCCTCATTGGTGAAAGTGTGAGCATGTACGGCATCGGCTTTTGATATCAAGATTCACAGGCTGCAAGTCGAGCGCTCTGACTGTCAGTCATCATAAAATAATTACGATAATTCATGAAATGTTTGTTTGTTTGAACTTAAGCACAAAGCTACACGATGTGCTATATGTGTTCAGCACACCACGGGTGTACGCCTTGTATAAAAGTTGATGTATTAGAAGAGCGTACAATAATACTATTTTAACCTCACTACATTCGTCATGTGCCACTGGGGAGGGGGGGGGGGGCTTCATGAAATGCATTCATGGCGTATTCATATACTAATTGGTAAAAATCAGTTAAATTAACAATTTCTAATATATATATAGAAAATCCAGTGAGTTTGGTAACTGCGTTCCAACAATGGCTTTTATGTCATGTCTCTTAGCAACAAAAGTATAACCTAATAATGTTGTTAGTCTATGTACAGAAAGTATGAAATGAAATGTATAGACAACAAAACTGAAAAAAATATTTGTTGATTTCTTAATTTAGAGCCTCCGTTGATTAAAGAGATTTATTTCTTATTAAAAACATTGGTGATATAACAGAAAATAGCTTAATTAAGAAACGATTTAAGTTTAAAATTGAATCGATATTTTTACTTTCATGATAAAGTTTATGCAATTGGCTCTAGGCGAGGTAATCTCACATTACGTCTTTACTTTAGGCATATTATACCAACACTCACTACATTTATAAAGTTTCAAGGCTCCCTTGCAGCCCATGTGTATACCATACGTTTTCTACTTATTCTAATATAGTATTTTTTCGGAATTTGTCAGTTATTCTGGTATGTGCACTGAGTAGCTCTGTGCTCTTAACAACAAAGTAAAACTGCTTAAGGAATTAATAAATAGAATTGACTTCATATTCCGTAAACATATAAGATACTTAAAGAAATTTACTGTAACCAAAAATGGAAAATTTCAAATGAAAAACTGAGTAATTAGATTATTTACAAAGTATACACATCACGGCCACCGTTAAAGCTACTATTTACCAATTATGTGTTTTATTTAATACCTGAAAATATCCTAAACAAAATAGTGGTTATTTGTTTGGCCTTCTTGCAGTCTCTTCGAGTTCAACTGCTTAAAAAACAAAGGCGCAAATGTATTTAGCAGTGGGTGAACTGCTATAAAAGATTCTGTGATTACAGTCATAAACTGTAAGAAACTAAGTCAACAATCTCACTTTAAACAGAAATTATAATTATAATTAATCATAACCATCATAAGACATTAGTGTTAGGTTTATTATATTTTTTAACATTACGTTGTTTATTCAATTCTTTAGAATTTTTCAAGAATTAGAAAAGCGTACAATAATACTATTTTAACCTCACTACATACGTCATATCCATTCCCGACGACGCATTTAGCTCAATCCAAAGCTCATCAGGCCTGCTAAAATACAGTAGTAGTCGGAACACTGTTTATATAAGTTATTTGTTACAACAAAAGTTGTTATTGTTTGAACGCCTTTCTGGCGAAGCATGATTATAATTAATTGCAATTGTTATAAGATATTAGTATTAGGCTTGTTATATTTTTAACATTTTATTTAGCCTCTTAGATGTTTCAAAAAAAGAACAGTGTATAATAATATTTCAACCACGCAGTACCCTCTATATCTACACAATTACCATTTAAATCTTAAAGTAAACAAGACTGCTCTCAAAGCACGTAAAAATAAAATAAAATTGAAGTGCTGTATCACCAAATCGATTATAAGTTAGCATCATGTTATGTTTATATATATCATAAAATTTAATCATTAAGTATAATGTCATTTAATAAGTCACTCAGAAGCTTACCTGGTTAAGTTGTAAATCATCGTTGATTTATCGATTTAATTCATCTTTATTCATCAACCCTATACTGTAACGATTTTGGGTTTCATTAACTTCAAAATCCTTCCATATTATTTCTGTAGAGTCAAACAGCGACATTGGTCCAACGTGATACTTTTATATCTCTTTCAAAATAGTAATATTTGGTCTAAAAATATAGGCCAAAGAAATAAATACTTACATTGCTAAAATTAAGTATCTTTAATCTTTCTTCAGTTCGAAGAAAGTAAAATATAATTTAGTTTCAGTTCCAACCAATTTAACCTTTTTTTATAGTGTTACTAACCTGAAGGATTAAAGAGTGTCCTTCAAAGTTTTGTTGCAAATACTTAAAACAAATACCTAGGCTCCGTAATGCAATTTCAGATTGAAATTAAAACGAGGCATTATTAATTGGTAGCACTTTTTTTTAATCACTTTCTTTACCTACTTCAGAGGGCGCTGGATAGTGCGAAATTTGAAAATCGTTATCAGCTAGAAAAGGTTTAACCACCAGTTCCGTTGTCGGTTCCTTAGTTTGAAATGTAGTTGTTTTTAACGGAAGTGTACAGGATTTTAGGTACTTCTGTTGAAAAAGAAGCTAGTGAAGTAAGCCAAACAGTATGGCTTCTCAAACGCGTTTCAGAACCCTCGAGAATGATCGTGTATCAGCTGAAGAAATGGACGAGATTCGACAAGAAAACATCGCATATCAGTATTTGTGCCATTTGGAGGAAGCGAGAGTGTGGATTCAAGCTTGTATCAAGGAAGATCTACCACCACCTACAGAATTGGAAGAGTCTCTGAGAAATGGTGTTTATTTAGCCAAACTAGCTCATTTCATTGCTCCTGAGACTGTGCCAATAAAGAAAATATACGACTTTGATCAGAAGTGTTATCAAGACCGTGGATTGCATTTTCGACATACTGATAATATCAATCATTGGTTAAATGCAATGAAAAAAATTGATATGCCAGTTTTCTTTTATCCAGATACCTTTGATGTTTATGACAAAAAAAATATGCCAAAAGTAATTTACTGTCTCCATGCACTAAGTTTGTATTTGTTCAAGCTGGGTAAAGCCCCTCAAATTCAAGACTTGTATGGAAAATTACAATTCACTTTTGAAGAAATTGATGCTATCAGAAGAGAACTTGAAAAATATGGAATTCAAATGCCAGCTTTTGGAAAAATTGGTGGAATTCTTGCAAATGAGTTACCAGTTGATGCTGCTGCCTTGCATGCTGCTGTCATAGCTATTAACAATGCAATTGATTTGGAAAATCCAACAAAAACACTTGAAGTGATGGAAAATCCAGTGGTTAGTTTATGTGGCATTATTAGTGAAACATCAGAGAGATATCAAGCTACTCTTTATGAAGCAAAAAAACTAAAAATGGAAGAAGCGCATAATAGATCCTTAGATCTCGACTACATTCCAGATGTTTATGATGAGTATTTGACAAAAGATGAAATCCAGAATTGTGTGTTGGATGTGAACAAACTTGTTTCACTAGAATTAGTTGATGATGCTCTTATACAAGAGGATGAAAAGGCTTTGTTAAAAGCTTTAACTAATTCTTATCTTGGGTTAAATTTAAAAGATTTCAGTCAACTGAACGTATCCTGGTATCTGAAGGCTTTAACAGAAGAGAAGAACAGGCATGAAAGTAATAATAATAATTACATTTTAAACCAGGATGATATTCAAAATGCCATAAAAATTGCTAATGTGGAAGCTTCCAATCAGTTAAAAATTGATGAAGCTGTAAAAGAAATTAATTCTGCAATCAGATTGCAAGATCCTTTTATGACTGTAGCTGCTCTTAAAAACCCAAATGCTAAACTAGGGCCAATTATAGAAGAGGCGGCTACTTTATACCAAGAGGAGTTTTTACCAATTCTTCAAGAGAATGGAAAAGATCTTGTCTATGAAGAGATAAAGGGAGGTGTAAAAATTTTGTCAGCCATTGGTATGATTAACTTGGCATTAAAGAAGGGTGATCCAGAAGAAATGTATGCAATGCTGGAAAAACAAAATGCACACATTTCCTCATTAGATGCTAGGTATAGCAGATTTTACTACAAATCACTTGTTCGAGCAAAAGAAGAAAAGTTCAGAATCTATCAAAATAACTTCTTAACACATTTAGAGATTCAAGAATGCATAGATGAAGTAAACACACAAGTGGAATTAGAGTTTGTACAAGTAGAATCTCTTAGGAAAATCAATCATTCAGTAAAAACAAAAAATGAAAAGGCTACTTTAGAGTCACTGCTTAACCCTGCTGCTTCAATTCTTTGTGTAGAACCTACTCTTGCCACACTCTATTTACAATTACTTTTTACGTGTCAGCAAGAAAAGATTGCTACAAATCAAAAGTCTCTTGAGCTGGGATTAGATGAGATACAGCATAAAGTAAATGAAGCTAATCAATTAGCTGCAGATGCCAACCTCTCTTGCATTGCTATAGCAGCTGTTAATCTGGCAGTTGAAAATGAAAATTTGGATGAACTACAAGATGCTCTTCAAAATCAGTATGTTGGTATTCCATCAGTTTTTAGCCAGTGTTCTAAGGAATATATGAAGCAATTTCAAAAATTAAAAAGAAAAAAAGAGGCAAGTGTTAAAAAGTCAAATAATGCTTGTGATGATGAAGACAATGCTTGGCTGGAATATCAAGTCAGAAGTGGAAATTTTTATTATTTCAATATGAAAACTTTTGAGTCCGGTTGGATAAGGCCCAGGTCCTATAAACCATTGTGCAGCTATTTAACAAAATCTGATATTGTGAAAGTAGTGTCTGTTATTAACTCTGAACATGATCGTCAAGCATTATTTACATCTGTGGAACATTTAATCACTTGTTTACAAGCTCATGTTCGAGGGTTCCTTGTTCGACAACAACTTTTAAGAAAGATGGAATATTATCGTGCTAATGAAAACAAAATTGTACAGATTCAACGCTGGTGGAGGCAGAATTTAAAGAGGCAAATCATTCTTATGCATGCACAAGAAATAAAAAGAATCTTACCAGCCCTCGTAAAAATCCAGGCTTGTGTGCGTATGTGGCTTGCTCGAAGAAGGTATATCAAAACAAAAGAACATTTCAAAAATCATGAAGATTCTGTTAAAAAAATACAGACATTTTGGCGAGCTTACAAAACTAAAAGAGATTTCAAGGAACTTATTCACTCTCTTAATCCACCACTGCACATCATCAAAAAGTTTGTGCACATGCTAAATGTAAATGAAAGTGACTATGCTGAGGAAGTGGAATTTCAAGAGATCCGTGGCCAAGTTGTTCAGACAATTCGTAGAAATAATGAACTTGAAAATGAAGTTAATGAAATGGATTTAAAGATAGGATTATTAGTTCGTAACAGAATCACATTACAGGAAGTAATCAGTCAAGGTAAAAAACTAAAACAAGGGAAAAGGGGCAATGGATCACAAGGATGGGAAGGACCATGGATTGATACTGGAAAGGGCTTAAAAGCATTGTCCAAAGAAAGTAGGTCTCGACTGGTTGCCTACCAGCACCTGTTTTATGCTCTTCAAACAGAACCTAATTACTTGGCTAAACTGATATTTGCAATGTCACCAAGTCGAACAACTAAATTTGTGGAATCTGTTATACTAACATTATACAACTTTGGTTCTACACCTCGAGAGGATTATCTTTTGTTACATTTATTTCGCACAGCTTTAGAGGAGGAAATACACTCAAAATTAGACAGTCCAATGGACATTGTTACTGGAAACCCTTTAGTCATTCGTATGGTGGTGGGTTTTAACAGAAACGGTCGTGGTCAAAGTTGTTTGCGTGAGTTGCTTGAACCATTGGTTAAAGAAGTTATTAATGACAAAACACTACATATCAACACCAATCCCATTGAAGTGTACAAGATGTGGATTAATGAATATGAAACACAAACTGGTCAACAAAGTACATTACCATATGATGTAAGCCAGGAAGAAGCTCTTAGTCATGAAGAGGTTCAAAAGAGGTTTGATAAAGCTATTAAAAACCTGCAAGAGAAGGCTCTAACTTTTTGTAATACCATTGTACAGTCTTTGGACAAAATTCCATATGGAATGTTATACATTGCAAAAGTTCTTTACAATTGTTTGATTGAGAAATTTCCTGATACGGCTGAGAAAGATATTCTGAAAGTTGTTGGAAATTTGCTGTACTACAGATATATCAACTCTGCCATTGTAGCACCTGATGCTTTTGATATCATTGACATTGGTCCGGACCAAAACCTCACCAATGAACAGCGTCGTAATTTGGGATCAATTGCCAAGGTATTGCAATTTGCATCATTAGGAAAGGGCTTTGGACATGATACTGCTCATTTGATGTGTCTTAATCCTTTTCTTAAACGGTGTCATGAGAATTTCAAAAACTTCTTTCGCCAAGCATGCACTGTTGAAGAACCTGAAGAATTCTTTAACATGGACTGGTATTCTGAAGCTACAATGCTAACTCAGCCTACTATATATTTAAGTGTCCAGGAACTATGTGATACTCATCAATTACTGGTAGAATTTGAAGAACAAATTGCTCCAAATCCAACAGACATGCTACATGAGCTATTGGAGGATGTAGGTAAACCACCAACTATACAAACTCTTGTTGGTGAAGATATCGAACCAACAGCTGTTGCTCATGTAGCTCAAACAGAAATTTGTTTGACTCTTTCAAGTAAATTTCAGATTTTGGGAGAAGATACTGTTGATACAGACCAGTTGTTTATAAAAACCAAGCAAATGATGATTGAGTTGCTTCAGCACCAGTTCCAGCATTCAAGTCTTACTGAAATGCTTCATTGTCCAATTTCCCAGAATGATGAAATTCAGTTTACTCAGAGGCAAAAGCAAGTTTCTGAACTTAATGTTTCAGTAAACCTTAACAAATCATCTACTTCTGGCTATAAAAAGTATTCTTCTTTTGAAGATTTTCGAAGTTCCCTCATTAAGAACCTTTATCGTTTAGAGCTAGCAGGCTATGTTTCAAGCAAAAATGATTACCAGGAAATCCTAAACAGCATTGCTAAGGATATTTACAGTTCTAGACAATACAGACAGCACCGAAAGCAAGAACTTTTGAGGCTACGTAATATTCAGAAGCAGCTGGACCTAAAAACATCTTTTAATGAAGAGAAACTAGACTATTACAACCAGTACATCAAAACTTGTCTTTCCAATTTGACTTCAGGACGCAAGAAGCTACATCAAAGAGGAGCTATACCTGGACTTGGAGGCAAACAAAAGAGTGAAGAAAAAGAGTTAAGAAATAAAACATCTCTTAAATATAATGGGGCAAAGTTACATGAAAAGGGTATTTTGGTAGAAATCACAGACCTTGACTCAGTTCAGCTGAAAAATGTTTCTTTTGAAATTGCTCCAGCACAGGACACAGGGGTGTTTACAGTGAGTGCTAAATTTATGGGTGTTCAGATGGAAAAGGTAGATGTTGACATTCAAGAACTTCTTCAGTTTCAGTATCAAGGTATTGCCATTATGGAAATGTTTGAAAGGGCAAGAGTGAATGTGAACCTTTTATTGTACTTATTAAACAGCAAATTTTATGGAAAGAAAAAGTAAACAGATAAAGTTCATTATTCACTAGATGGTGGGTATCAGGTCTTGTACAGGTTGAGTAAAGATTATACATCAAAAATGTAACCTTAATTGATGGACTACAATTTATCAATGTAAGATGTAACATAATTTTTGTAAAAAAAAAAAAAAGAGTACATTGTAGCACTAAATTTTTATACTGTAATTTTTCATGCTAATATGGAAGTTAAAGAAAAAAATGTCTTTCTTAAATAAAAGATTTTTTGTATCACAAAGATCTACATTTAATTAAAAATATATTGCAAATTTTAAGTGTTTGTGTAGTATACAATAAACAAGCTTCAAATTGTTAATTTTTATAACATAAAGTTATCAATATTTGTTGTACTTGAAAATTTGGTTTAAAGATACCAGTAATTGTTATTGAAATTTTTATTTCTGATAAAAAGTTGGTTGATTTTATGAACCAAAGTAGTTGTACAGTATGTAGCCAAAAATCTTAGAGCAGTTCTTAAGTTTGGATTTCATGGTTTAATTGAAATACTTCTAATAATGTATTTTAAATTAAAGGTAATTAAATTACTACAAAGTCATATGAAATAGTTAAATTGTATTTTGGAGGTAATACAAAAAAATTTTAATCCAGAAGTAGTTTTGCTGAAATAAAATGGGGAAATTAATTTTTCTTAAACATTTTTCTTACTTCATAGAAAAACAAATGCCAAATATATATCTAGAGTATTAAGGATTTGTGCACATTTACCTTACAAACTAAATTGGCTATGTTTAGACAAAGAACAAGCCCTTTTTAAAAAAATAAGGAATAGGTATATTATTTATTGTCAACTAAACATTTCCAAATTTTGGTGTACAGGATATTCACAAGGATTTACATTGGCTTGTGGTAATATTTGTTGTTTTATTCTTTAGTGTAGTGTAATTATTTGGTGAATTAATGTACAAATCTTGTATCTTTGAGAAGTTAACCTCCAAAGCAAAATCAGAATTGTATCAAAAAATAAACATGTTAGTAAATATGCTTTGTAATCAATCATCATACTTCCAATACAATAAGAAATAACATAAGTTGAATATATTTCAGACCAGACTAATGGTAACAGTGAAGTAACAAATTATTATATAATTTCAGTTATACAAATAATTCAAAACAAGTTACAAGTTTATAGTTACAAACTCAAGAAACATTTCAGTTTAAAAGTGAAATTTAATTGAATATAAATGTTTAACTGTGCAATTTACATAAAGAATTTGTAAATCATAAAATTAAAAAAAAAAGATATTTTTAGTAATGCATTTTGTGTTGATATTTTTTAAGATTACTTATTATGAAGGCTCCATGAAAGTATAATTTTTCACCTGAGTACATAACACAGATCACACAAAAAAAACGCAGTAGACTAAAAAAGAAAAATTAAGGAAAGAGAATTTATAGTGAAATTTTAAACCAAGTTTGATTTTAAGCCTTGGATTCTGGTTACCATTTCATTTTTTGAAGAAATGATTTATTATGTGTAGAGAGATTTCCACAAAACTTTAATTTCCTGCTATAAACATGACAGCTGAAGTATATGAATTTTGACTAGCTTGAATGAATTACGGCATTTAATTTAGGCTTACGTAAATAGTGTAAAATATGTCCGATTTATTTCATAACGAGTTAAAATGGAGTGCGTGTTAAGTTTGTTTATACAAATAAGATTTAAATAAAAACTGAAAATCATAGTGACTTATTTTAAGTAGCTTTTGTTCTAAACAACATCAAATCACAGGCACTTAAAAGACGAGTATTGATTTGTGCAATGAAATATTGCCTTAAAAAACTTGTGTTAATTTCAGCCGAATCTTGTTTTCTTTTAGTTTTACATCTATAAATTTCACTTACACTGTTACGGGCGCGTGGTAAGATTGGAAAGTTGTACAATTTCGTATTACTAAATAGTGTTATATAGATCATTGTTAAATTAATAACAAGCAAAAATTTCTAGAAAAAACACTAATGGGTAATTTACAAGTGTTTGGCGAAAGAAATACGGCCCACAGTCAGGCGCCATTAGATTGTTCTCTCTGTTACATCCTTGCTTTAGTATAATTTGTTCAAAATATAGTCCATTTGGTAATACGTGTTCCGTAAAACAAAAATGCTTTATTAGACCATGTATACATATTGTTACGTCTCAGGTCGTTAGTTAATTTTCCGTATAATTTCTTTCCGAAGAAACTTTAGCGATACAAGTCCTTTCTTAAATAAAACTGGTTTATTTTTTCTGAATACAACTTTGCTATACACTTAATTTCCACAGTTGCGCTATAACAAAGGCCATAATTCACAACGCACGTCTCACGTGCTCGACTCAACTGTCAAGTACACATTGTTGCCGTCAGTTCTTGGAGGCTTATATATACAAGACTACCGCATATCTAGTAGCCTCTCGAGACTTCAGGAAGGGACAGGATCCTTCTAGAAGTTCATGACGTGTTACTTACGTCACGTGACGTAACAGTACGTTTATAAGTGAGGTATTATTAATAAATCTTTATGATTTAATTACAGAAATCTACCAGAAAGTGTTTTTCAGGCGATCAAATTTTAATGGATGAAAAGTAAGTGCCAGGTCTAAAAGTTACAAACTGAATACAACAATAATGTTTACGGTGGTTCTACCTTAAGTTGGAAGGCTTAGAACGCTAAATATCGGTGTTCGACCCTGAGTTTTTCAAAGTACAGAGTGCAGCTCTGCGCATAATAACAAACATACTATCTTTAAATTTCATCTAGTGTATTTTTAACAAAATACACTACAATCACCAACAAAATCTCCAGAAATTGTAAAACCTAGCACCTGCTTTTTCATCCTATAAAATTCCATCGCCTAATAGTATCGTACTTATACTGATAAACATATAGGATAGTGTTATACAACAAAAATAAAGTGTTAATATTTATTTACAGTATCGTACTTATAAACATATAGGGTAGTGTTATACATCAAACATAAAGTGTTAATACTTATATACAGTATCGTACTGATAAACATATAGGATAGTGTAATACAACAAACATAAAGTGTTAATATTTATATACAGTATCGTACTGATAAACATATAGGATAGTGTAATACAACAAACATAAAGTGTTAATATTTATATACACTATCGTACTGATAAACATATAGGATAGTGTAATACAACAAACATGAAGTGTTAATATTTATATACAGTATCGTACTGATAAACATATAGGATAGTGTTATACAACAAACATGAAGTGTTAATATTTATATACACTATCGTACTGATAAACATATAGGATAGTGTTATACAACAAACATAAAGTGTTTATATTTATATACACTATCGTACTGATAAACATATTGGATAGTGTTATACAACAAACATAAAGTGTTAATATTCAGCTACTGATCTCATCCCGTAAAGCTGAAGATCTATTCATCGTTGTTGTTGTTGTTTTTTCGTGTGTGTGTTTGTAGATAATAAGTCAATCATATCTTCCGTATAATTTCTAATTGAATAGTTCTAATTGCCTGTAGTATTGTTAAACTCGCGTATTGAATACAGATTAACAGCTTTCTGGTAACGTGTTTGTCACATTTCACGTGATTTTTAAATTATGTGGTTACTGTGTACACTAATTATTCCACAAGATTATGGTGACTGTAAAAATCCAGTTATTTTCACTGATTTGCTTAGTAAGACCAAAGAAAGCATAAATAAGAGCAGACAAACAAACATAGACAGATAGATAGATTAGCAGGAAACATTTATGCCTCCATATTGAATGAACTATACAAATAATAATCCAAGACTGTACATGACATCAGAAAAACCTCGAACTGTGATAATTTGGTTTGAATTAAGTTGTACATTGCAACTGAACAACAAATGAAAATCACACAAATCAAAAGAATTCCACTGAGTGCAGAACAAACTAAATGCTACATCGCAGCTGAATCATCTCGTAGATCGAAACAAGAAAATCTTCATGCATCGAAAGCTTTGTTTAAAACGAATTGTTGATGTAGAAAAAAGAATCTCACAAGATTCACTGAGTAGAAGTAATTAGGCAATATTTCAAAGCTTTTCGTGCTTTGCATTTCTAAGTTAACAAACAACATGCATTATTGTGTAAACCTACTTAGGATAATGCAAATCTCTAACTTCAATAGTCATTGTGTTAACCCAGCTTACAGTAACTTCTCAAACTACTTGTATACTGTTACGACAGCGGAAGTCACGTGACGCTGGTAACACATAATGA